CCCCTCGTCGTAATAAATGTACTTTCCCTTATTCAAAATCTACCCTTTATCACCAGTTTTTTTATTCTTTTTATGTTTAAGTATACATAATCCTTGACTTGATAACACGATGATCTATAGTTTCTCCATGGATAAAAGTAGTTAAAAAAAGGTCAAGTACGAATGTAAAGAAGGTCCATTTGCACTTGTGTATCTCACTTCGAAAAAGATATACATATAAGGGACCGGTCATAAAGTATGTGTACTGGGGGGGGGCACACCCCCAAAAGTTTCGGAAAATATTTAATACCCCTCTCAAAGGAGATGAAATGTTTCGTACCCAACCAATCACCCTCTCTCCAAAAACATAAAATTCTAAGAACATAACTGTTTTGCAAATTATTGCAATCCATTGTCTGTATTGAAATATTAAGCGTAGTCAATAAATAGAGAGTGTTGAACATGATAACTCACGAGGGAGCGCAGCAAACAAGTGAGATATCATGTAATTCAACACAAGAAATAAATCTGATATTTCCAAGCACCCATCTATTTTTCTGTTTATTATATTATTAATGACAGTCTTTGAAAAGCGATAATTTTACTGAAAAGCGATAATTTTCACATGATTGTGAGATTATCATAAATAATCTCCCAAATGAGATTATCACTTTTATCAGTGCTCGCCATCTCTATAAAGCACTATACTTTATATAATAATACTATGTATATGCCCTTGTGAAAATTTGGGTCGGATCTAGAAAAAAGGAAAAACATTACTCAAAATCTTAATACCAATTTTTATACAAAAACGCTCAAAACATGGTACCAATTCATTAGTGTTTATGTCACAAAAGTTTTTTTTGACATTTGAGTAGAGGACAAAAAGTTAGTTAATAGGTTCTTTAACATTTTTCGGTTTTCTCTTTTCATTCTCGAGATATGCGACTCTAAACCTTGAAAAATTGGCTTTTAGCGAAAAATTGTCGCGCCCGAGAAAAAATAGGTACGCTAGACGTACATGTATCTGCGCAAAGGAATTCGATGGTTGCAATGAAAAAAATTTCATTCACAATAATTGAGTAAACATTTAAATTTCGAAGTGACTATACTGCCAGCAGCCAGCTATTTAGTAAACTGCCGGCTATATAGTGACTAAGAAAAAATGCTAAGTCAAACAAAACACAACCCGACCCAGACAGTGTTTCACTTTTCGCACACAGTGCCTATACCATATACTGTAACGGCAAGCTCGGTGAAAGCTAGCGCAAACAAAAGTTTTATATATTTAACTATAGTCACTACATAGCCGGCAGTTTACTAAATACCCAGCTGCCGGCTGTATATAGTCACTTTGTTTGTATTTGTATTATTCATATTGCTTATGTATTATTCATATTTTGTTAAAAGTATAATCTAAATACACGACAGTGGCGACTAGGCTTTTCTCGATTGTGCTAGTAAAAGTAGCATAATATGCTACTAGCAGTTCTGGTTTAATGTCTAAATTATGCTCGAATTATGCCAGTTTTAAAAAATTATGCTTGTTTTTTATTATATTATGCTATTCAAAAATATGCTACAAAAGTGGAAAAATCAACGTATTTTGTTATAAAAAGTAAATTTTGTAACTTTTAATAGTCTTTTCTCCTGAACTCAACATAATAGTCTATTCATATGGCTCTATCATCGTCCACAAAATCTGTTGTCCAGATTTGGAAATTGGAAATTGATTTGGAAATTGATTTACTCGATCTCGTAAACAAATTTTCTTCACGTCAGAAGCTCCCCGGCTCTTGTATTTATTCTTGTTTGAATCTGACCACCGCTCTCGAGCAATTTTTGCAGGTGGTGGCCTGCTTGCACTATTATTATCACTATTTTCCTGTTGCCTTCCTTGTGCAACCTGTAAGTTTATATTTTCCTGAGAGGCTGACGCCATCTTGGATATTGAGTAATGGGGAAATGTGGAGTGTGGACTGGGTCTCATATTAAGGTGATTACCTTACTAACTACAGTAGTCAGCGTAGTGTTGTTTAACAATCACTTCCTGCAAGTGTTTGGACAAAATTCTAAAGAACAAGTATAAAGAAAACTAAAAAAATTTTCACATCTTTAGCATTTTGCTCTGAAACTTAGACATGTCTGGCAATTGTCTGCAGATTATGCTAGCAGTGCTTTTTTCTAAAAAAATGCAAAATTATGCTTGTTTACCCAAATTATAACAACATAAAACGCTCACTGAGTTTCCAGCGATATACATACCCTTTTCTAGATATATACCTAATAATAATAAACGAACGAACGAAAGTATTCCTTCCACTCGTGAGCTCATTTACCATTGTCACATATAGTAAATGTCCAGGCCTTGTGACCCTGGATGGGCACTTAAAAGGAAAGAATACACACACACAAGGGTTTATTTATTCAACCATTACAAGAGAACAATTGAACAACTGCGCATGAACGAACGTTCAAAGTGAATGCCTCTTGTTAGCCACTTGCAAAATTATTATTAGCATAACAATATGTCTCACACAACTCATTTCTATTTACTATATGTGACAATGGTAAATGAGCTCACGAGTGGAAGGAATACTTTCGTTCGTTCGTTTATTATTATTAGGTATATATCTAGAAAAGGGTATGTATATCGCTGGAAACTCAGTGAGCGTTTTATGTTGTTATTTTATTTCCTGAGTACGGATCTTCGACCAATTTCATATTGTTTACCCAAATTATGCTAAAAAATATGCTAGCACAATCGAGAAAAGCCTAGTGGCGACGAATTTGGGATTGTTATAAGTCCAGAAATGACGACGATTGGAAAAATTGATGTTTTTGATGAAACACAAGAAAGCTGGGAGACGTATGTCGAACGAGTACAACATTTTTTCGCTGCAAACGATGTCGACAACAATCATCAAGTGCCAACTCTGCTGAGTTTAATTGAAACAAAACGTATTCATTATTAAAGGATTTAGTTTTGCCAGAAAAGCCTGCAGACAAGAACTTTGATGAAATAGTAAGTACATTACAGAAGCATTTAAATCCTAAACCACTAGAAATAGCCGAACGGTTTCGTTTTTATAAGAGAAATCAGCAAGAAGGGGAGAGCATTTTAAGTTATATAGCTGAGTTAAAGAAATTAACCACACGTTGCAATTTTGGAAGTAACTTGGAAGAAACCTTGCGCGACAGATTGGTGTGTGGATTAAGTAATCAGCAAATTCAGAAACGTCTCCTTGCAGAGTCAAAATTAAAATTCTCCAAAGCTGTTGACATAGCAGTTGCTATGGAAACAGCCACTCGAGATGCTACAGAGATCCACAGAAAGGGTAGAGAAGAAAAACCTCTTGGTCTTGACAAACTGACACTGAACAGACCCTCGAATAGATCAGATAGTGGCCCACCTTCCCCTGTAGTGTGTTATCGATGTGGAGCTAATACCCATGTTGCAACTGAGTGTAGATTTAAGAAAGAAGTCTGTCACAAGTGTGGAAAGAGAGGTCATATTCAAAGAGCTTGCCGGGCACAACAAAGCCAGGGGCCCGGTAGACCCTCGCCCAGATCAAGATACCAGAAATCGACCAATGCCATAGAGACCGAACCAGATGAGTATGAACACTTGTTGAATAACCTAGAAGTTCATAATGTAAACAAATCAAACAGTGATGTCATATGGGTTGACGTGAAAGTTGAAAATCAACCACTATCCATGGAACTAGACACAGGATCGGCCGTGTCCATTTTGCCATATGACATGTTCTTGGAAAGATTTCGCGACAAGAAGTTAGAGAAAACAACCACCGTACTAAAGACCTATACTGGTGAACTGATTGTTCCAGTTGGTTACCTTACCATGCAAGTTGAATACTTAGATCAATCATGTCAATTGCCATTCCATGTAGTCCAGACTAAGGGTCCCGTGTTAATGGGTCGAGATTGGCTTCACAAGCTTCGCCTCAACTGGAAAACCATTAAGTTGTTGAAATCCTCAGATTCCAGCCATAGAAACCCTGGCACGACTACACAAGAGAAGCTGAAAAACCTATTGGATACGTATGCAGAGGTTTTTGAAGACAAGCTGGGAACTTTCAAATCTGCCAAAGCAAGGATAACCCTCAAAGAAGGTAGTCAACCACAGTTTCGCAAAGCTCGTCAGGTCCCATATTCCTTACGACCGAAAGTGGAGGAAGAACTGAAGAGACTTCAGAGCGAAGGTATTTTGTCGAAAGTAGAGTGGAGTGATTGGGCGACACCGATTGTACCAGTGCCGAAACAAGATGGTTCAGTCCGTATTTGTGGTGACTTCAAAGGTACTATTAACCCAACACTACAAGCAGAACAGTATCCTCTGCCTCGAATCGAAGATATCTTTGCCCATTTAGCTGGTGGGAAAAAGTTTTCCAAGATCGACCTCCGCCAAGCTTACCATCAGATTGAGCTGGAGGAAGAATCCAAGAAGTACCTTACAATTAATAGGTCCATGGGCTTGTTTCAATACAATCGATTGGTATTTGGTATTACCTCTGCTCCCGCCATTTGGCAGCGTACCATGGAGCAGATTCTGGAAGGAACTTCTGGTATTAGTTGTATCCTAGATGATGTGATTGTGACGGGTAAAAGCGACGCAGAGCATATGGCTAACCTGGAGGAGGTCCTTCGACGGCTGCACCACCATGGGTTAAGAGGCAATAAATCGAAGTGTGAGTTCTTCAAAGAAAAGATCACGTTCTGTGGCCACGACATTAATAGCGAAGGCCTGCACAAGACCACCGACAAGACAGCTGCAATGGTGAATGCCCCTCGCCCCCAGAGTGTTGCAGAGGTACGCTCCTTCCTGGTATTGGTGAATTATTACCACAAATTCCTGCCAAAACTTTCTACAATCCTGCATCCATTGAACCAAATGCTGGAAAGTAACTACCAATGGAACTGGACAGATCAATGCAAAGAAGCCTTTTGCAAAGTTAAAGCAATGATTGTTTCAGATCTGGTGCTTACACATTATGATCCTAACCTTCCCTTACAACTGGCTTGTGATGCTTCACCTGTAGGAATTGGAGCGGTACTGTCCCATGTCATGACAGACGGCACAGAGCGACCGATAGCGTTTGCATCGAGATCCCTGTCGAAGGCGGAGCGCAACTACGCACAGATAGACAAAGAAGCGCTGGCTACAGTGTGGGGAGTCAAGAAATTCCACAATTACCTGTTCGGTAGGAACTTTACCTTACTGACTGATCATGAGCCTCTCACTTCAATCTTTCATCCCAGCAAAAGCCTTCCTGTTGTCACTGCTGCTAGATTACAACGCTACGCTTTGTTCTTGGCGGGTTTTGACTATACAATTAGATACAAGAACACTAAGTTACACGGGAATGCAGATGGTTTGTCTCGATTACCCTTGCATAGTGAGACAACAGAAGAAGAGCCAGATCCAGTGGGCCTCTTCTATGCCACGCAGTTTGAGCCTTTGCCAGTCACAGCAGAACAGGTCAAACGAGAAACACAGAGAGATCCTCTATTGGTGAAGGTCCATGAGTTGGTTATGAAAGGATGGTCTACTCCACAAGATGAAGCGATTAAACCGTTTTACCAGCGGAAAGTCGACAAACTGACAGTTCACTGTGGTGTCCTAATGCTTGGACACAGAGCAGTCATTCCTGCAAAGTTGCATAATCAAGTGTTAACCGAGCTTCACGAAGGTCACCTCGGTATTGTTAAAATGAAGTCTCTGGCGCGAAGTTACATCTGGTGGCCCAAAATTGATAAGGACATTGAGCACCTAGCCAAAAGCTGCCCTGGTTGTCAACTTCAACAGAATGAAGCCGGCAAAGTACCACTACACCCTTAGGAATGGCCAACCACACCTTGGCAGAGAATCCATTTAGATTTTGCTGGGCCGTTCCTAGGACGAATGTTCCTTATCATTGTTGATGCACACTCGAAGTGGTCTGAAGTGGAAATAATGCCATCCACCACATCGACGCAGACCATTGACTGACTCCGAACTATTTTTGCCCGATATGGAGTGCCAGCACAGGTGGTGACCGACAATGGGCCACAATTTACATCCGCAGAGTTCCAACTATTTTTGAAGACTAATGGTATCAAGCATATTACCATGGCCCCATTCCACCCTGCAACCAGCGGTCAAGCGGAGCGTTTTGTTCAGAGTTTCAAACATGCTATGAAATGCGAGAAACAAAGTGCATCCCAGCTGAAAACCAATATGCCAAAGTTCCTTTTGGCTTACCGGAATACCCCGCATTCGACAACTGGAGAATCACCATCCGTGTTGTTTTTGGGCAGACCTCTACGGACTCGCCTCGATTTGGTGAAACCTGATTTACAAAGGAAAGTGATGAACAGGCAAATCGATCAAGCGGGGAGGAAAGGACATTCCCCCACACGTCAGTTATCCATTGGTCAGACTGTCATGGCACGTAACTATAGTGGGAAAGACAAGTGGCTACCAGGCATAGTTCGAGCTCAAACGGGACCCCTTTCGTACGAAATAAAAGTTGGTCCAAATCGAATTTGGCGACGTCACATCGACCAGCTTCGAGCCTCGAGTGTGAAAGTAAATGACCGGAGTGATGATACGGCTGAACCTCATCCAGAGCTTGGAGAGACTGGCCAGGATATTGCACCAGCAGAAGAAATTGTCGCAGAGCCGGATATCGAACTAGACACGAATCCACCAGTAGTGCAACAACAAGAAGCCGGTAGGGCTACAACAGGATCTGAACAACGCTACCCAACTAGATCACACCAACCACCCGAGAGGTGGGGTCTTAACTGTTTGATCCGAAAACTGTTTAAGAAAACTACATAGAGAACTGCTTTATTACTTACTGTTATGGTTAGCATAATTATTCGAACACGATAGTGAACTCATGAACAATATTTTATGATACATTCCTTAAGAGGAGAGATGGTGTTAGATATATAGATATAGACGGACAGCAGTCATACGCACGGACATGCGCATTAGATATGTAGGTCGGCCATGCTTATGTATTATTCATATTTTGTTAAAAGTATAATCTAAATACACGACAATAATGATTGGGCGAAATAAATAAATAATAAATCTTCTAGGATAAAACAATCGTCACTCTAAGAAAGCCGCCACCTTTGTTTTACGGCCTGTTCGCGGGCATACAGCCCTAATTAGTCGACCTGAGTGTTTAACGCACACACGCAGGCACGCACGCACGCACGCACGCACGCAAACAAGCACGCACGCACGCACGCACGCACACGCAAACTGACTGAGCATGCGCGAAAACTGCTCGGGTTTTCAGCGGACTTGGTTGATTTCAAAAACAAAAACAACATGAACGAAGCCTTCGAACGACAATTTAGCAGCGGCTGTTTAGGCCCACAAATCACGACAAAAATTGGATTCACTGACAAAACATGCATGTTGCAGTAATACTTTAATTTCCTATATTGCCACATATTTTACAATGTAAACTATTAATATCGATTATTTCAGTGCAAAACAAAACAGAGCAAAAAATTTCCTTGTAAAATGTCGTCTGATAGCTTGAATAAAATGTGAAATTCAAACCAAAAATACTAAAACTTCTTCATTTTTTACAAAGTCAAGAAATTTAATACCGACTTAAAAATGCTTTGAAATTTAATGTAAAACAGCGATATTTCGTTGGCACAACCTGTAACATGACAAAATTCGTGTTTATAGGATTTTGAACGAGCGAAAATTGTGTTTAAACATAATACAAAGTTTGCGCTTCGAAATGAGGGTCATAGAAAAATCTGATTGCTACTGTATGTTTATATGTTTTTCCAATACTTTGAAACCTAAAATAATATTTTAAAACTATTATAGCAAAATACGGGGCAAAATGTTCATTCTGATGCTCATTTTCTGAGTCGCCTTTTTCGTATAAATCACACTTGCACATGAAAGTTGCCAAAATTCAGTACTTTCCCCATTTTTTAGGCGATTATACATTCTATTAACAAAAACTTGAAAGAAAAGCACATCTTCTGACCTAATCACAGAGCCTGAAATAACGGCCGGCGGCCGGCGGTTTTCCGACCAAATTCCAGTTTTTCCGACCAAATGCTGAAATGATCGGAACTTTCGTCCGGACAAATGTTGAAAAAAAAAAAATGATAATCTGGGTTTTTTTAATTATCAGGTCGGCGCTCAGCACAGTCTTATATAGAGTAATCAACTGGAAAGTTATGAAAGTTTCTTCGATCAGAGTATGCTTTAAACAAAGTTTAGTTAACTTAAATGTGTCACAGTGCATGAGTTACGAGTCAGAGTGACTGCTTTCATTGTTGTTAATTTGACGACCTGGAAGGTAAAGAATGCGTTTCCTCGACGTTTCGAGCAAAGGTACTTCATCAGGACAGTTAAATAGGCTGTTTATTACAAGTAGAGTGATTTACTGCATGCTTGACAGAATTTACTCAACGGAGGGGATCAAACTAAACTAAAAAATTTCCGACCAAATTTGAAAATTTCCGGTCAAATTTAATTTTGCTTCGAAGTTTTGCCGGACAAATTTAAAAATTATTTCAGGCTCTGTAATCACATTTCATTGGCACAACTTGTATATATGAGAAAATTAAGGTGAAAAACAAGCAATTTTAGCAAAATACTTCACATACTGAAATTTGACGATGATCGTTGGCGCACAGTATCACTCAAAAACCAAATATTTATATTTGTCCAGGACAACAAACGCCAAATTTCAAGTAATATTCCATCAATATTAAGTTCATACTCGAGGTTATTTGCCATAGAAAACACACATTTTGCAAGAAACGTCATTTTCGGCCATGTTTCAGCGAAGAATTCTTAACTGCTAATTTCACGATTGCGACGAGTAATTGTATTCTTGATTAACGTTTATTAACGTCTGCTAGCTTTCTTTTGTTTTCCCTCTGCTGCAGTGCGAGAAACAGGGTAGCGAAATCTGTGTTTTTGTTGTTTTCATCTCGGTTTTCACAATTCTTGCTGGCAAAAAGAAAGCGGCCGCGATAAATTTGGTCAGCGACGACAATTTTCCCACCTGTTCGATGGCATAGTATCCAGCGCTACGCGCAGATACAAAAACCGGAAAAGGGTCTGGGGCGACAGCCGTGTGACGTAGCTTAAGGGACGGAAGTTCGAATTCATATGTGAAGGAGTACTAAAAAGCTATTGGGAAGACATATGTTTTCCAGCACTCATGGTTCTCAATGTCACTCAGAATACAATTATATTCCCGGGTATATTATAGAGGATGAATCAAATGATACTAGTCACGAAATTGGAACTCTATAAGCAGTTGATAGCGAAATTTTAGGCGATTATGATGCATGCCTTTATGCCGATGAACCGCTAGCGAGTGAAGAATGCTACGCGGCAGTACGCGCGTTATCTAAAAAATGTGCGGAACACAAGGAACAAAACGAGATGCTACAGCGAAGATAGACGGCCTTGAATATGTTAAATTATGGTGTGTGTAAACATAGATTTATTTTAATATTTAACGTAAAGTAAGTATCTGTGGCTGATATATTTTGCGGGATACGAGCTCATACGGCATCAGTCACATCAAAGAGTTAAAACCACACTTCCCCCAACCTTCGCAAGAAAATAAAAGACACGCGATCAAAGCAGGGGCGCCGGAAGGACTGAAAAGCGGCGTGGGCAGAATCTTGAAAAAGGCACTTTTCTTTTTTGCTTCTAGAGTCTTTGAAATGCCATTTCATGCGTTTTGGGCTGAGATTTGACATAATTTTGAGTATTAATAAACGCAACGTAAAATACAAAAAAACAGTGAAAATTTTAAGCTAGTATATTGGTGGAATATTTTGGTAGCTGATGATTTCTGAGAAGATCTAAATCCAAACTGATTGTCACTTAATATTTTAAATTTCTCCAGGTATTCTATTAGCCTATTATACATAAGTTTTTCAAGAATTTTATAAAAAATAGAAAGAAGTGAAATTTGTCTGAAATTGCACATATCCAAATGAGAACCATTTTTATAAATAGGAATGACCCTCCTGACTTTTAATTTGTCTGGTACAACTCCTGTTTCAAATGAACAATTAAACAGAATATTCAGAGGGACGCGCTGAGAAGTGATTTTAAGCATACAATTAATTTAGTGGGAATACTGTATGGGCCAGTAACTTTATTCGGATTTAAATTACCAATTATTTGTTCAATTTCCACTGAATTAGTGGGATTCAGATAAAAACTGTTCAATTGTGGATTACGTGCACTGGACAAGAAATTATGAAATGACGTATTCACGGTAGGAATGTTCGCTGCCAAATTTGGACCAACAGTAGAAAAATAGTTGTTAAATGCATTAGCTATAGTTTTTGGGTCTGTTAGTAATGTATTATTCACTTTTATTTTACTAGGCCCAAACGATTTAGTTGGTTTTATTGTTACAAGTTGCTTAATGCCTTTCCATGTTTCTTTAATATTATTAAGATTCTTAGTAAAATAATCATTAAAATATAACTTTTTACTTACAATTATTAAATGTTTTAATTTATTTCTATATATCTTATATTTGCCATGGTTATATTCACATTTGTGCTTTAAATAGATTTTAAATAATTCATTTTTTGTCTTAATTGATTTACGGATAGCAGTTGTAATCCAGGGTTTTGCCATAAATTTAACTTCACTTTTTGTCAATTTTTTGGGGGGAGCATGTCTATCAATAGTAGTAGAACTACAGGAGTAGAAAGAATTAAAAATTTCATTAGCATTTCCAGCTGGCAGTTCATTTTCCCACCTTATGGACTGTACTTCCTCTATAAGATCTTTTTCATTCATATTTGAATAATCTCTTTTAAATACCTTACATTTCTTTGGTACAAAAGGTGTTTTATCCAAGATAAGAAAGTTTGGAAGATGATCAGTAATATCATGAATTACAACTTGATGATGTTCCATATCATTCAGAAATATATTATCAATTAAAGTTGCAGAATGTTCAGTAATTCTAGTTGGCTGCAAGATGCAGGGCAAAAAATTATATGAACTTAAGGTATTAATATACTCTTCAGTATATGAACATGTATCACTGTTCAGCAAATCAATATTAAAATCGCCCATAAATATGCAATACTTATTTTCTCTGGAGACTTTATCAACAATATGAGACAAAAAGTTAGTAAATAGTTCATGATTACTTCTAGGATGCCTACACAAGATTCCACAAATAATATTTTTATGTGGGCCACAGTCAATTTCTATCCATAGAGATTCATACTCGATGGTTGCCGAAGTAAAATCATCCCTAATAATATATTTAATATTTTCATTAATGTAAAATCCCACACCGCCAGCATTAGTTAGTGAGGGTAAGGATACTAATTCGTATCCTGAAATAGAATTATAACTGACTTGGTCCACATCCTTTTTTATCTTAGTCTCAGACAAGCCGATAATACTAAAATCGTCTATGCCGATAATACTAAGTAATAGTGCCGATAATAATATGTCAAGCCGATAATACTAAAATCGTCTATGGTGGCAACCTTGGTGGTATCAGCAACCTTGGTGATACAACAAGCATCGTTGACCGTATGGCCATGATTTAATTAATCAGTGTCGCATAGTGCAGAAATTTCTCTCTGCGGTTGCTGACCCTAGTGGTACAGTAGTCAGTATGGTAAAGACACAATAACTTGTGGGTTTCTGGAAGGGTTTCTTTTGAACTTTGTTTCTCGTTCAAGACATCACAAATAGTGGAAACCTTAGTAATCTTCTTTAGGGGAACTGCATGTTGCCTCCTAATTGTACAGCTTGATGTGGACAGAAACCTGTTCCAGCTCGTTATTTAGCTTTTCTATGTCGATTACGTCTGTAGCTATAGCACCAACGCTGTCGAAAGGTTCATCATTGGTAAGGTCTTCCTTATTTGCGTTAAGTGGTCAGTTGTAGGTCACAAATATTATACAAGTCAAAACAGAAACAGTGCAAAATGTTGTTAATTAAACATACTGGCACAATATATAATATCCCAACGAAAAAAGCGAGTCAACTAACTATCACGGTTCAGTGCTTCTTATATATAATAGAGGCAAGGAAGTTAAACAAACTAAAAACTGATCTTAATAAGGTTGCGTATCTTGAGTGGAAAGTCAGAAGAAGCTGGAATGCTCTAAAACAATCTAGAGCAAGGAAGACTTATCGCGCCGAATGCGTTATTGTAGTGCCACCCTGCCAGAGTCTAAATGAACCATGAAATGAACGTGGTCATAATATATACTTATACATATGACGGCCAGTCAAGAATAATAACTTATTAGTTAATGATGTTAATCCTTCTTGTCACAAAAAGGCGCAACTGCCAGTTGCCCCCGCACTGCCCCCGCACAGTTTGGGCAGCGGGGACTGCTGCCCCCGCTGCCCCGTGGCTCCGACGCCCCTGGATCAAAGAAAATATATTCAGAGCAAATTACGTATGTATTCTTGTTTGAAGCTACAGTGTTTATCTGTAATCACGTTTATTTAATACGAACGATTGAACGATTGTATTTTCTCGCAAGTTTTCTTAGAGCCCATTTTTCCAAACAAATAGGTCTGAATCCCGAGTGTAGAGTGATACAGCACGGCGGCTGTGGCACATCTTCTAAAACCTGCAGAACTTCCCCACAAGATTCCATCTCCTGACAGCACCAAGCTTCGTGTGTATATTGTATATGTATTATCACACAATCGCCGCATTTACACTTGTGAAATATGATACAGGTGAGGGAAGTGTGGTTTGAGTGGTTTGATGTGACTGATGCCGTATCAAGATACGAGAGATACTTATTACACTGGCCTGTAGGCCAAGTGTCTTAAAGGGGCAATGTCACCGATTTTTGAGCAATTCTAACCCTCGCAAATTTTTCCCAAAACTGAAAAAGAATGAGTGTAAGCACAAAATGAAGCAATAACAGACACAAAAAACATGTACAGAGGTCTGGATGGGCAAGATTACGCCAGGATTGAGATGGATTGTAAATGGCATCTTGATTAATTGTTGGCGGACACTTTTTCAAGTTTAGGTCAATTTTTATGAAAATGTCATGTTACATGTTGCGTGGAAGTTCAAAGTTGTTTAATATGACTCATATATCATAACTTAATCCATTTACAATGTTTATTTTTAACTTTGTAGTTCAGTTTTTGAATAAAAGGCATTTTAGGTCAAAAATCGGTGGCATTGCCCCTTTAAATCCCTCTTTTTCTGTTTTTTTCGTAGTCGAGAAATCGAGTTTGCGTTAGCTCGCGCAGGCTCAGGGCAGAGGAGGTTGGACAGCCAATTAGGCGAACATCTCGACCAATCAGATTGCGCCATTTTCCTCATGCTCGCACGAAGCTTTTGGCATCGAAAATTTACATAGGGCTCATAAATATGGATTTTTTTCATATTGTTATGCAACTTTTTTGGGAAATTTCACGCGATACTACTTTTACAACAGTCAATCTACCCACTGGAACGGTATCTTAAAAGGTAAGCGTCATTTTCCAGTTTATTTTGACCTCCCACTTAGGCGGTATGCCGTCGCGATGTAATTTAATGGCGTTTCTGTCAACAATCTTTGAAGACAAAAATCTCAAATCTCCATGGTTCGATTTCGCTATTTTTTTCACGATTAGTTAAATAAAAGTATAATCTTTAATTCTATCTAGCCGGCCCCCCTCGGCCACTCAACCGTTTTCGAGATATTCACCGTTGAATATAGCCCTTTGTAAAATATGCTGCCTTGTCACTCAGATCAATAATGAACTGCTATTACTAGCTTTTTTCTAAAGAAATTTGATATACTACAGAAGTCTCGATATATTATGGATTTATATGTATTGTTTAAAGTATGTAAGTAATTAAAGCACTTCTGTAACAATATTTTATTGCTGAAATTTATTGTTTGGCTGATGTTTTAGATTTGAGATTCGTGATTTTGGCTAGTGGATTCTATTTTTGTCAAGATTTTGTCTGCAAGAATTAAGCAGCATCATTAAATTTGGAGTTCTAAACTTGTTCACCTCTCTGGTAAATGTTATTGATATGATGACTTCTGGATTTTCAAAACTAACCCAGCGACAAGAAGAACAACTACTCATCCACCTGTTTCAAAAATGGCTGGTAAAACTTAATCCTGGTTTAGATGCTAAATTTGTCCCTCAAAATTTTCTCCCACTTGTTGCCAAGGCTATGTCTGTACTTCATGCTGGTCAAAAAGACAATCTGATTTATATCGCTGCTCAATGCTTTTGAGAACAACGCCATGGAGATGTTGGTGCTAGAATGCCATTGGATAGAATGCCCTTTATAGCAGTGAAGGCCCACTTGGCCTTAACAGTATTTTGTATAAATGCTGTTACACAACTAATCCAGATAAAGTTTGAGAAATGGTTGTTCTTATGCACCTATCAATGTTAAGCCCCACAGAGGGGGGTCGGACATATGTGGGGCATTTGATTTTTTGAGCAAATTTTCAATCAAATGCCCCACTGTTGGGCAATAAATATTGGTCAAATACCCTAACATTTTGCAATAAACTGCAATAAATACTATATTAATAAAAGTCATTTTGGTTCAAATTGCCCTAACTCGGGCCCAAAATCCTAATCAAAATCCCTAGGGTGGGGATGCAATTAATGATCAAATACCCCAGATCTGGGACTTAACATTGATAGATGCATTATATGCAGGGTTTTTTTGTATTCTCATATAATGTACCACAAAGTATCAGCAGCATGTTATTGTGGGACCTTTGGTCAATATGTATATATAAATAGACATATTTTTGTTTTATTGTTGCATTAATTTTAATGAAAAATTACTCACAAAGTTGGTCAAGTGAATGCATAAACTATTTATTTATTCATTTAGTGTACAGCACGTGTTACAATTATGTACTTAATTGCATGAGTGTGCATTGTTTTAATTGCACCCACTTGTGATTAACCTAGTTTTTGTTTAAAAATGCTGACCAAAAATCTAAAAAGTTATTATAATTGAAATAACAGCATTTCTATAACTTGCTAAACCTAGTCAGTTGCTATTATATCACAAACATCTGTCAACATACACTCATGCTCTTCTTTACCACTTGAGTCTCCCACTCACCACATTACTTTATGAAATTTTTGGATAAAATCCTATTTTAAAATTTAAGTCAACCCTATACATGATATGCTGAACATAGACCTCTAAGATATCTCCTGCGGCAATTAGTGGGTGCAAATACTCGCATAGTTCAGAAGCAATATTAAATAACCAACATGTGTCCATCCAGTTCCATATAGTCCAGATCAATTGCACTTGGATCCATTGGATTCAATTGCTCTGGCCATATTCTTACATTCACTGCTTTATCTTGTCCATGAAGAGCAAGTATATTGCCTGTTCCAAATGATGTAGGTAGTTTTTCTCATGAGCAGCACTGATGCACTTGAATGGTACAGCATGGGTGATTTCGTTCTCGTCACTTTCATCCTCATCACTTAACTGGTCACCACTTTCTGCCCTATCACCTTCATTACCATATCCATCCTGACCAGGTTCAAGACCAGCCAACCACTCAAGTAGATCTCTTTCTACAAAATCATAACAAGAAAATTTTTATTTTATTATTTTATACATACACTGTAATCTCTAAAATTAGCAATCTAATGCAAAAGTGTGTCACTATTTACAGTAATATTAGAACAACACACAAATATGGCAATATTATTTACAGATGAAAATTGAAAAATATATAACTACTGTATGCACATTTACTGTATGTAAAAATCTATCCACAACTAGATACAAACAGGCATCATACTTCAGCAAAAATTTATTAAACAATTTGTTTAACTCAAAACATGTACATAATATATCACAGTGACACAGTACATAGACACACACAATAGGGTCAAACTAGAGGCAATAAACACAGATATTACGCTATAATTTTGTACATTGTATTTCTGAAATTACAGTACAGTACAAGAATAAAAACAACAAAGCGTAAATTTGACTGTAAAATAACAAGATAACTGTAATGCATTGTATTATACCAACCTTAAATACTGCGCTTGTTTTCACGTTGATGATACACGGAGATTATAAACACCATCCAACTTAGAAAGAAGAGCCTTGCTATTGGGATTTGGGAATATTGATATAAACACAATTCCTTCGCTCAGACGGATTATTTATAAACTAAACTAAAATAACAGCACGTCCCATGCAATTTAAAAAAAGGTAAACTTGGTATAGCAAAACACAAGTCATAATGAGGATCGCAACAATACAGCAATATGCTATTATCACAGAGTATCTGACACTCTTGTCGTTCGAAAGCTTCCATATTGGTTTAGTCAGAGAGATGTTCACTCCTCGACAGTCAACAGTCAATGGAGCCACGCATGGAATTAGGCGCTCAATACCCTTGATAACACGGCCACCCGCTTCCAATCCAACCTCCTCTGGCCAGTCATAACATAATTAATTGTTTCTAAAAATATTCGCTTGCACGTAAACATGTCAATCAAACAATATTGCGAATTAAACTCAATACCGCTCAAAACTATAATACAATTTAATACAATATTGCAGATTTTGTAAATGTTGTTTTAAATTAAACAGCAATTTGGCAATTTTAGTAAAATTGTTCATGATCCATCACAAAAAACCATCAGAAAGAAAACAATCTTTCGGAATTGTGCTCTCAGATTTAATATATGTGAGAAAGTTGGCTTTTGTTAATACACTGCAGTACTACACGAGAAGTTTCAACACCATTACCAGCCCAAAGATGTAGAAACATCAGGAAAGCGTAAACTGTTAATTCCTGACACGCTGACCGTGGCGCTAGTCCATTCAACCAAACTGAATCAAATCGCGTTTGTTCTCCGCGATGTTTTCCGGGTAGTATGTCTAGAACTGAATCGAAATCTGCGCGTAAAAGTACAGTGCTTGTTCAGCAGCAATACAAAAGATGATCTCACTGGCCAGTCATCAAGAAATAGCACAGGTACTGCAGACAACGTGGATGTAAATACTGATTCCGACGATGTACCGAAGTAAGCTCAACATCGACGGTTTGAAAACGTGTGAAGGGCGTTCGTCACTTAAATTAACTGTGCTTAAATCATTAAAAGTGCTTTTAGGTCATCCGAATGGGAATATTGTGACTCGAAACCCTACAAACGAAAAGTGGCTGGACCACAGTGACGAACGCCCTGCACACGTTTTCAAACCGTCGATGTTGAGCTTAAT